TGAGATTAGTAATATGGGTTGCGAATGGGTACAACAGGGTATTCGAAGATCTATTTCAGATCACTGTGCCATTGTTATGATGTCAAGGAGTGTCGATTAGGGTCCAAAACCATTTCGTGTGTTAGATGTTTGGAAGCAACATTCCGAATTCAAAAATTTGGTGAACAAGGGCTGGAACGAGTTGAAGGTTGAAGGTTATGTAGGATATAGATGCAAACAGAAACTAAAGAGTTTAAAAGGGATATTAAAAAGCTGGAACAAGGAAGTGTTTGGCAATGTTGAAGACCAATTTGAGAGGGCTGCCAAAATGGTGGAGCAGGTGGATTTGAAGAACGAAAATTTTGATTTAGATAATTGGAAGGCAAATCAGAGATGAGAAGGGTTCTAGGAAATGTGGGATATTATGAGGAAGAGAGAAGCATTATGGAAACAGAAATCTAGAAGTACTTGGATTCGATTGGGCGATGCTAATACGAGGTACTTCCATAGAATTGCAAAAGGACGTCAAGCTCGAAATAATATCACTGGCATTTTGTGTGATGGTAGATGGGTAGCTAAGCCAGAACAAGTGAAGAAGAGATCGTTCAGTATTTTTGGAATTTATTTCAAGCGGATTCATGGAATCGTCCATGGCCAGGGGGTATTTGTTTTAAACGGATTTCTAAGGAGTGTAAAGAGTGGTTGTAGAAACCGTTTTCAGTGGAAGAAACTGAAGAAGCTTTGAAGACTTCTGAAGGGTCTAAAGCTCCGGGCCCAGATGGGTATAACTTTAATTTTATCAAGTTTGCATGGGACACTTTATAGACTGACTTTGTGGAGTTCTTTATGGAATTTCATAAGCATGGAAGGTTAGTGCGAGGCTTAAACTCCTCTTTCTTAGCTTTGATTCCAAAGAAGTTGTGTTCTAAGGAACTCAGGGATTATAGGCCGATAAGTTTAATTGGTTGCTTGTATAAATTGTTGGCTAATCGTCTCAAACAAGTGTTGCTAGAGATTATAAGTGAGTCTCAATCTGCCTTTTTAGGAGGTCGTCAACTGGTAGATAGTGTTTTAGTTTTGAATGAAATTGTTGATGAGGTAAAACGAAAAAAGCAACCAACTTTTGTTTTTAACATTGATTTCGAAAAGGCTTATGATTGTGTAGATTGGTCATTTTTGGACTGGATGATGGATAGGTTCGGGTTTGGAACAAAATGAAGAGGGTGGATTATGGAATGCTTGTCTACTGCAACAGTATTAGTTCTAGTAAATGGTAGTTCAACCGAGGAGTTTGAGGTCGGGAAAGGGTTGAGATAAGGAGATCCATTATCTCCTTTTCTTTTCTTGATGGTTGGCGAAGGATTACATGGGATCGTTAAACAAGTAGAAATGAAGGGTCTATTGCGTGGGGTAGAGATTGGCAAAAAGAGAATGGGTGTTTCTTTACTTCAATTTGCTGATAATACAGTGATTTTGGGCCGTGCAGACAGCGAGATTGTGCATATAGTGAAGATTATTTTAAGATGGTTTGAGTTGATATCAGAATTGAGAATTAATTTCAGTAAGAGTAATGTCTATGGGTTCAGTGTTTCGGACAGCTGGCTAAGAGAGGCAGCAAGTGTTTTGAAATGTAAGGTCGGGTCGATACCTTTCATTTACTTAGGACTGCCTGTTGGAGGGAATCTGGGCACTAGGAGAATGTGGGAACCAGTTGTTAATAGAGTTCGAACCAAGCTTGCCGCTTGGAAAAATGTTGTTTTATCCTTTGGAGGCCGCGTCACTCTACTTAATTCAGTACTTTCTGCTATTCTAGTTTTTTATATGTCATTGTTTTTATTCCCTAATTGTGTGCTTAATGAATTAATTGCCATTCAAAGGGATTTTTTGTGGTGGGGACCTGAGCTGAAAAGAAAAATTTCTTGGGTTAAATGGGATTTTGTTTGTTATACGAAGATGATGGGGGGTTTGGGGGTTTTTGATTTAGGTAGAAGAAATTGGGCGTTGCTTGGTAAGTGGTGGTATAGACTAGGAGATAGGTCATGGGGATTATGGAAACAACTATTGTGGGAGAAATATTATGGGGGGAAGAGGGAGGTGGATATTACTATTGTGGAGAGTTTAGGTATGTCTCGTATTTGGAAGGATATTTTTAGTATTGGAGGGAGATCTGAAAAATCAAGAAATATGTTGGTGAAAGGGTTTAAGTGGGAGGTGGGAGATGGACAACGTGTGAGTTTTTGGAGGGATAAATGGGTAGATAGTAAAACATTACGGGATGTGTGCCCAAGATTATGTGAGTTGGCAATGAATAAGGATGGACAGCTTCAAGAGATGGGGGGTGTGGGAGGGAGATTGGATTGGTGACGACAGAGGATGGGTAGAGAGTTAAGTGAAAAAGGGGCTTTGTGGGAGTTGTTGGACAGTGTGTGCATGATGAGGGGTAGAGTAGATAATTGGAAGTGGGTACATGGTGTGGATGGAGTTTATGATGTCAAGAAAGCTTGTGCTTTTCTAGATCCTGGTGAAAGAATTCTTGCTGAACAGGTGTGCAAGTTAATTTGGTGCAAACTTGTCCCTTCAAAAGTCTATTTTTTTGGCTAGCGATTATGCCTAGACAGACTTGCCACAAAGGTTAACTTACAACGAAGGAGGATAGTTTTTGCAAAGGGTGGAGTTGTTGTGTTGTTTGTATAAGGAGCAAATTGAGCACAATGATCATTTATTTGGCGTTTGTAGACGATCTTGGCTGGTATGGATGCAAGTGTTAAAGTGGTGTGGTATGGAAGGGGTGTTGCTAAATACTGTGAGTGGAATTGCAGACTTCTTTCTGTTTGGTTTGGGTAAGATTGTTGGGAAAGAGATGGGTTCTTGCATTTTCTTATTGGTATCTTGGTATATTTGGTATTGGAGGAATAATATAGTTTTTAAAAATGTGAGGAATGTGGGACAGCAGGTGTTGGATGCAGTACAAGCTAAGTCCTTTGTTTGGATTAAACACAAGGTGTAGGGTTGTGTTTTCTCATTTTATGATTGGCAATCAAAACCAGTGGATTGTGCGTTGGCTGGTCAAAGGAACAAAAGTTGTTTGAAACAATTTCACAAACAACATTTAGCATAAGGCTGCAAGTTTTGAAATTGGGGTTGTTTAAGCATGTAATTTTTATTTAGTTATTTTTATGATTAAGTCATTGGGTCAGCTATGTATGTGTGGCTAGCATGTACAGTGTATTTAAATGGGTAGGAGTACCCTTTGTACTCCATTTGCTGATAAAAAAAATGAAAATGACATGCATGACAACTTAAAACCACATTCCAATAAGTTCAATCAAAAGTAAAATGTTATTTTCCCTCGTCATTTACTTTTAGGAAACTTATCACTTAAGCCTTAGGATGATAACCAACTTCATTACAAAGTTATGAAGAAAACTTGCCTGTGCAGCAATTGTTTCATCTCGATGGCAAGCAGTGATTAAAGAAGTGCAAGGCACGCCGACGTACTGCACAAAATTAGAGAATAAAAGCTAGAGACCAACAAATAGATAAAATATACATTAAAAAAAAGTGCTAAAAAAAAACAGAAATAGATAAAACAATGGCCCTCAAACAACATAAAAAATTTCAAGTAAAATTAACTTTGAAGAAATAGTCAATCTATCAAATGAGCCTGTTCATGCTCTAGATCAAAAAGTTTTTGAGGTCCATAAAATCAGAGAGGTTATAGGTGGCTTTAAGTAAAGGTTGACAAAATCTATTAAAATATTCTTGAAATCTATAAAACATAAATGATAAAACTGATTTTCAATTTGTTTTTATTTTATTTTTTGAATAAAAACATAAGAAAAGGAGTTGTTCTAAATGAAAGAAAAAAAAAATGAAATGTAGAAAAATAAAAAAATAAGGTAAACCAAAAAGAACCGAAGTTCCTAATGATATTAGAATAGTTGTAATGTAGTTAGAGGTAGATTTACTAAGGAAAAAATGGCAATCTCAGACAATCTCAATAACCATAACTGTATAATTTAGTAAAAGGCTCAGGTCCATTCACTCAAACCGTTGGGTCAGCTGCCAAGCCCATACTATTTTCCTTATAAATAGTCCCTTGTCTCCTTAGAATTCTTAAGAAAACCGTGTAATTTTACTATCCGAATGAGGTGATATTTGTCATTTGACATACCCAATTTTTTTTTGCTAAGTATACCCAGTTTTCTTACAGAGAGAAATCCCAAGGCATTTTTTTTTTTTCTTTTTCTCGTTCTTTAAAAAAAAAATTTTGTGAGAAGAAAACAAAAGACTAGTGCCTTGTGCAAGCGATCATAATGTTCTTACTTTTTTTTTTTTAGCAGCTTTTGCTCTGTCGATCATAATGTTCTTACATTTTTCTACACATTGCAAGTTTTAATTTAATTTAATTTAATTTTATTCTAAATCTTGTCAACCATGAGCAAGAGGGGAAACACGAAGGTACAACAGGCCCTACCCTGGGCTGACCACTTGTTCTAGAGCCCAAAATTCAAGTTCATCGTTGGTGCTATCAAAACAAACATCAAACGGCCATATATATATATATATATATATATATAAACTTATGACCTTTCAAAGTTATTTAAAATTATTTTTTTTATATTTTTAAAAATTTTAATTCATGTATTTTAATATTAAAATAAATTAATTCATATATTTTTTTATTGAAATAAATCAATTCAAATTTAATAAATAAAGTTATGTCATGTTATACTTTTATAAAATTTATTTCAAAACTTGTTATATCGTGTAAAAGAGGTATTTTTGAACTGGTTTTGATCCCTTTTTATCTAGTTTGTGGTTTTAAAGAGTAACTTATTAAGTTTATCGTGTGACCATAAAGTAGTTCTTTTAGTTTTGCTTTAATATATTTTTAAATATGTTGTATGAGATAGTAATATATTTATGATATCTATGTAGTTTCTAAAGAAAAATCATAAGGCTTAATAATACTTTTTCTTATTTTAGTTTATGTAGGAATATAAAAATTGATAAGTTAGAAGATAAATAGTATTGAATTTTGAGAAAGATTAGTAATTTATATATTGATTTTGTTATTGTCATTTTGGAATTAATACATTGAGAGAAAAAATTCAACAAAAGAAGTTTGAAGAGAATTGGGTTGTAGAAAATTGGGTCCCTAGATTGTTTAGCAATCGAAATTTATTTTACAAGTTAGTTTAGTTCAAAATTGGTTTAGTCAACTTTGTTCTTTTTAAAGTTTGAAGTTGTTAAATAAAATTAAAATTAACATAATGCTAATAGTTAACAAGAGTTTTTTCTGTTCTTTAATTTTTGTGAGATGATATTTGGTTCATCATAATATTATATGTTTAAGAATAATATACATTTACATTTAACATGAGGTTTTACTCACAACAATAGTGTCAGTCTTCCAAAAAACGAAAAAACTCAAGATATAGTCAATACTAGAACCCAAAACTTCAAGTTCATCATTTTCACCATCAAAACTAATCTCAAACAATTGAATTCCTCATTTGATTCAAAATCATAATGGTCTTCATCATGATCGTCAACCATGTCACATTTCTCAACATGTTCCACAAACACATGGACCACTCTACGCACATAAAGAAATCTAGGCCATCTTGAGAACGTCATTGTCATTTTCTAATGATAGTAGAACATTGGCATAGAATGGTTTGGAAGTGCACATGTAGAAATCTGGGCCATCTTAAGAACGTCGTTCTCATTTTCTAATGGTAGTAGAACATTGGCATAGAATGGTTTGGAAGTAAATAGAAAAGTTTCCAAATATAAACATAAACTCTATTTTCGCTCATTTTAAAGTAGACAATCAACATATTTAAAGAAAAAGAGAGTGTGCATTATATCAATAATTCAAAAGTAGACATTTTGCATATCTTATCAAATTAACAATCCATCCAAACAATAAATAAATAAATAATAAATATTATAATAATAATTATTATTATACTAAGTTCACAATAATTAATAGCTTTTCTAAATTATGTTGCTCTAAACTCAAGTATGATGCTTTTTATTTTATTTTTTACTATTTATAATTAGAGTATTTTCAGATCTATTTTTACGTATTTGAAACTAATCAAATAACTAAATTAATTAAAAACTCAATACTCTAAGCATGAACAATAGAAGTCTTTGTCGCACCACCAAACCAGCATTAAACAAAATAAAAGTAAATAATAAAAAATCAGTGGTCTAAATAATGCTTGTTCATGTTAATTAAATGTTTTACCTTCGTAAAACATTTCCACGAAGTGAAGAACACAAGCTAGTTGAATACTCCTCTATAAATTGTGAAGATAGCTAATAAGTCTAAATTTTATATAATTTTTACATGCTTTTAATCTTAAGTTTTAATTCTTTGAGTTTTTGAGAGCGCATTTGGAGTTGTTGTAAAGTGTTATAATTGTAATTGTACTAAATTGTGTTGTATTGTACTATAACTATAGTCTAAAAGTTATTTTGATATTTAGTTATTTATTTTTTAAAATATTATA